TCTCCGAGAGCAGCAGACGCCAGGCACGGGAGAGAGGAGAGCGAGCTCCCGCGAGCGCCTACGAACGGACCCGCCGGACCGCAGAAGAGGCAGCCGAGGCAGACCTGAGGGTTTGCCGTGTCTCCCGCGAACCGGAGCCACGTGGCGACACAGCAAGGAGGGACCGTTCCCAGGAGGGCGAACCAGCAGAGGACGAGAGGAGGATTCGCCGCGGACGAGAGCTGGAAGAGCCAGCGGGCCAGGCGAGGATCGATCGCCAACGTGAGCTCGCAGCTGACATCTCCGAGAGCAGCAGACGCCAGGCACGGGAGAGAGGAGAGCGAGCTCCCGCGAGCGCCTACGAACGGACCCGCCGGACCGCAGAAGAGGCAGCCGAGGCAGACCTGAGGGTTTGCCGTGTCTCCCGCGAACCGGAGCCACGTGGCGACACAGCAAGGAGGGACCGTTCCCAGGAGGGCGAACCAGCAGAGGACGAGAGGAGGATTCGCCGCGGACGAGAGCTGGAAGAGCCAGCGGGCCAGGCGAGGATCGATCGCCAACGCGAGCTCGCAGCTGACGTCTCCGAGAGCAGCAGACGCCAGGCACGGGAGAGAGGAGAGCGAGCTCCCGCGAGCGCCTACGAACGGACCCGCCGGACCGCAGAAGAGGCAGCCGAGGCAGACCTGAGGGTTTGCCGTGTCTCCCGCGAACCGGAGCCACGTGGCGACACAGCAAGGAGGGACCGTTCCCAGGAGGGCGAACCAGCAGAGGACGAGAGGAGGATTCGCCGGGGACGAGAGCTGGAAGAGCCAGCGGGCCAGGCGAGGATCGATCGCCAACGCGAGCTCGCAGCTGACGTCTCCGAGAGCAGCAGACGCCAGGCACGGGAGAGAGGAGAGCGAGCTCCCGCGAGCACCCAGAGGGAGTTCCATGAGAGAAGCATTTGTGACAGAAGTGAGTCAGAACAAGAGTGTTATACTTTTAGCCACCATCATCCAGATGGGTTACAGTGTGAGGCACCAGAGAGGAACCCCTGTGAGCCTACAGAGCACCAGGGCAAGAGGAATTGCACACTGCTACACAAGCAAGAAACACTAGTGCATGAACCTAAAAGGTACCCATCAATTGAGGGCAAAGGAAGAAGGGATGATAGGAGCCTCTTCCAAATAGTGCAGTTGGATACGAAGCACCTGAGCCTGCCAGCAGAGCTGGAGTCTGTTGCAGATAGGAGGATCCATTATCTTCCTGATGAGCTAGATGTACAGCCAGACGTCAAGTTCCTCCCTCTGCCTTGCAAGCCTCATACTGTGGCATACTTAATCCACGTGATCCAGAAGCTAAACAATCCCCAGTCAGCCACCTACAGAGCAGAGATTGTCTGCTACCAGCCCCATGACCTGGGGCAACCTGTTTATGCAAGGAAATGCTATGTGTCACCACAGCCTCTGGCAGTCCCGCGCGAAGGAAGCAGTCGCCAGGAGCCAGAACCCAGTGAGGACGAGAGAATTCCAGGGGATACTCAGGAGCCTGAATCCCCGCAGCACAAAGACACATGTGTTTTGGAACCATGTGTGGACAGGAGCAGTAGCCAGCAGCCACCTCCTTCCAGCCCCCAGGAAAGAAAAGGGGACCTCAATGAGCCACATGAGCATGAGCCGCAGGAAAATAGAAAAAGCTCCTGTCAGCACGAGAGGGCTGAAATAGAAGTGAAGGAAGGGGTTTGTCAGGAGCCCCCATCAGATAGCATTAAGGGTGAACCTCATCAACCTTGCAAGGCTGAACTCAGACAGGACAGGAGGAACAATCAGTGTTCAAGGATGCCCGATACCGAAATGGAGCCACAGGAAAGCGGATCGAAAGCCTCTGGAGAGCAGGTCCTGCAGGAGCCCGAATCCAGCTGCCACCCAGCGGGCAAGCCCCGAGCGCCAGGGAAGGAGGGAAGCCAGCCTTGGCCACAGAAGACCAAATCACCCTGGGGGGAATCAAGTCAGCAGGGGAACGAGTGCAAGGAGAGGGAGGCCAAAAGCCACCTACCTCTGTCCAAGGCATCTGAACACAGCCAGGACCAGGCGGCCCAAGGCCAGGCTCCAGAGTTGCAGCTGTGGGAAGGTGGAGGGCACCAGGCACCGGCATGCAAGTCAGGCCAGCGAGCTGCAGAAGATACCTGTCTGCAGCCACCCCCGAGGGAGGAAGCCAGCTGCTGTCAGCAGGATGCAGAGAGGAGCCACCTGCAACAGAAAGAAAACAGCAAGAGGAGCTACTGCCAAGCAAGCGAGTCCCAGACACAAGGGGAAGAGGAACCACATCTTTGCACCAACCAGAGCCAGGGCCCTCCCAGCCCTCCAAGGTCACAGGAGACACCAAGTTGTCCCGGTGTGGATGAGGTCAAGGCATCTTAGGGAGATGTCTGGTCTCTGCCAGGTAGTTGGTGGGCCTTCCCCAAGTCTCTTTGAGGATTGCTTCTACTCTCTAGCTTCTGCTAGCTTCTGTAACTTCTGCTTTCTTGCATTATGTCTATCCACCTTAAGTGCAGTATTTACTCACTTTTCTACTGCAATTGGACTCCTTGGGTATCTCTGTCCTTTATATCCCTGTCATCTCTGCTATCCTGTGGCATCACTGTTCTGTATCTCACACTGCACTCACATATCCTTAGCCCTGTGGCAGGCTCTCCTGCTTGTTAGCTTCTGCTGCGCAATGCAAAAAAAAATCCCAGTATCTCAATCATATTCATTCTGGGGCCTGAAAATCCTTGAGGCTGGGAAAAGACACCTCTAAATGCAGACTCAGTGCTTTTAGTTACACATTTTTGCTTTCCTAGCAGCTGAGCATAATCCCAGCTCCAGTATCAAGGAGGCTTTGAAGTAGTTGAGTTATGCTGTGGTTACCACAGGGTAATGGTGGTGGTGGGTCGGGTACAGGGAGGGATTGTTTCTTTTTCACACTGACGTATTGCATGAAAAATCACAATAAATAGCTGATGACTGCACTGACTGCTGCCATGTTTCAACCTTGCATCTAATTTCTTCAAAGACTTCAGGCTGGTGGGAGGGCGTCCCAGTTCAGACCACCTATCCCTCCTAATCTTAATTCAGACAGAGATGAAAAATCTGCTGAAAATCCCTCCAAATACCCAGCTACACATCTAGGAGCCCACGTACCTCTAAAACTCCCATAGCAGCCCACATATGTTATAATCTAAGACTCATGGTGGGTCATATAGCCCTCACCATGCGAGGATGTGCCCTTGCTCTCTGGCTTTCACGACAGACACAGGCAGGGAAAGCCCGCAGTGGAGATCTGCTGCTGGCTAAGGAGCTATCTAGATGCTCGTTTTCCTGGCCACAGGCATCTGCCTATCTTAACCCCAGGCTGCCCCATGTCTGGGACCACTCACGGGTCCTCGGGCAGAAGAGAGGCAGCAACGTGGCCTGGAAAATGCACTGTTTCTCAGACATGGTGCACACAACTGGAGAATATGTCCACGGCCCTCCCTCACGAAAATCAGATTTTACTCATTTTCCTTTCCCTTGAGCAATAAGGAACTGATTCCCTCAGCAGCAGCAGATGGGGCTATGATTTTGCTAGAAGATGGAAGGAGAAGCGAGGACAACCCTGCCACCATCTGTGACTCGCTCTGCAACGCAACTAGAGCTGTACAAGTCAGAGCCTGCTGGCTGGTAATGGCACCAGATGGGAGGAGCAAGGGCATCTCAAGCCCATTAGAGCCTGACGTGGCTTCAGGAGGAAGTGCACGGGGTTCCTCACTTGCACAGGTTGGCTGCACAGCCGCTTTCCTCTAATGTTTCAGACACAGCTGGTGCCAGAGGAACTCGTAAGGATCTGTCCCAACCTGGGACAGGCGGATGCACAGGGTGACACTCTCCAAGATGCTCCCTTCATGCACGTGACTGTTGCACTTCTCAGTAACAGACATATGGCAGCACAGATGGCCTGTCTGCAAACACAGCCAAACTCCCGACTGCAAACACACAGCAACAGCAGGAAACAGAAACTTCCCCAAACCCCACGCTGCAACTAGGACCAGGCTAGGCCAGAGCCCTTTCTGGGATTTGCTCTTGTAAAACAGGAAATAATGCTGGTCCATCTGAACAGCTCTTATCTTGGTTTTAAGGGATCACAAAAAGAAGTTTGCAAAAGCACAGAAAGAAGCGCAAAGTCCAAAGAGAAGAACAACATATTTCCTGCCCCCAGCTCCCTGCTTTGAAAAGTCCTTTTGATCCACTTGCACTGAAATGTTTCAGGCTTAGGAGAGGTTGGATGGGGGAGGCACTTTTTCCCCAAAACATGGAAAACATAGTTTGGGGAAGGAAATTGGGGCAAGAAAGGAAAATAGATTAGGAAGTAGGATTCTTCCCCAGATTTGGTGCTTCATATGATTTCCCTTTCTCCTGCCGTATGATGAGTCAGTCTCCAGCAAGATTTCCCAGCTAGCCCCATCCCTACAAGCTGCCCGAGCCCAGAGGGCATCCCCACTCCCTACACACCGTCATGGCTGCCTGCATTATCCTTGGCCACTCTGCTCCAGGCTCCACCTGAAGTTTTTGGGGAAATCTGGCCCCATCTGGGGCTGGTGGTCACGGGGAAAATCTGGCCCTCACGACCTGCAGGGTTTGGGGTATGTTCATGTTCACTTCAAAGGAGCAGAGAAAAAGGGTGCCGTAACTACGCAGTGGCTATGTAAATGCAGATAAACCAACATGTCTGAGCAGCTTCCCCAGCACCCACTGGCTGCAGGATGGAGGGCGGCTGGGGGATGAGGGCATGGCCCTGGACTGCTCACGGGACCAGCCCTGCTCCCTGGGCAAAGGTAGCCACAGGCACCAGGGTTCAGCCCAGCTCTCCTCTCTACCGTGCTGATTTCATGGCAGTGCAAATCCGACAGCCCTGATCGTCCCACCTCCACGCTACGTGAGCACATCCCTTGCCTTCTGGGTGTCCCTCCTCCACATCTGCATCTCCCCGTTTTAAGCCCTCCGTGGCCAGCACAGGCTCTCACTGCAGCTGAGCAGCATAAGGCACGAGGGTGGCTGGCTGCAGTAGGGAGCTCAGACCGGCACCCCAGCCCCAGCGAGGTCTCCTTCTGCCCCTGAGAACCCAACAGCACAGGCAGCTGCCCCTTTTGCAATATAACAAGCTTAAAACACATTATCAGCGTAGCTCACCAGGTGGGACAGGTCAGCACGAAGAGCAGGGATGCAGACAGTCCCCAGGGTCTGACATCCCTGGCAAGTCCTTTGCTCCCTTCCAGCAGCCCCAGCTATGTAGTACTTGTCCCCAGGTCCCCACTGCCTTCGGCAGGGCAGAGCTGCCTGCTCACCTGTGCCTCTCTAGCAAAGCAGGGGAAGCTAAACCTCACTGTCGCAAGCAAAAACACTGAGGACATTCTGGGTAGCAGCAAAGCAGCCCTGGGGGCCCTTAGGCTGGGTGAGAAGGAAAGGGAGCTGCAAAGGGACAAACGACAAAGAACCGAGGGGAGAAAACAGGCTGGAAGAAAAACGAAGGTTGAAAGATATGAAGGAGAAAAACGAAAGTGCAAATCACTGTAAAGAATAACACATAGAGAGGGAAGAGGATGAGAGAGCCCAGAGGAGGGGCCCCACACATTCCTGAGCCCCAGGTGGGAACCACAGACACGTCCAGATCTGCCGTTAGAGCTGGTGATTGCCTAACGCGGCAGAGGGGGCTGAGTCAGGGCTCGACGCTGGCTCTGCCGGGAAGGGCGGTGGCAGCCAGAGTGAGGCTCATAACCGCCCCAGCTCCTGCCTGTGCCACGCTGCGCCGCAGCCCCTGCCAAGGATCGAGCCCCCTCCTCACGCCCCAGCCATGGTGAGTGAGCCAGGTCCCTGGGAAGGGGAGGGAGATGCCACTCCGTAACAGCTGGAAGGAGATTGCAAGAGATTGTTTGTGGTTCCAGCAAACAGCCCTAGAGCTCTGTGCGCAGCTGAAAGAGAGACGTGCTCTAGCATCAGAAAGAGGAGACAGTGCCAAGGGCTGAATTAAAATCACTCCCTAGGAGAGGGCCTGGGAGCCAGAAGAGGGTGCAGTGCTGCGGAGAGGGCAGAGGGTCCCTGCAGCTGTAGGGGAACAGGAGGTAGCATTTGTCCCCCTGCAGTCCCCCCACAGCCTTCCCCTCTCTCTCTATTTCTTGCTCGTGTTTCTGATACCCATTCCTGGAGTCAGGGCTGCATCTCTCCCTCCACCAGACCCCGGGGCAGGGGGCGCAGGCAAAGCCAAGAGCTGAGGAAGCAGGGCCCAGGGCGGAAGCGACTTGGCTTCTCTCACATCAACCAAAAAAGGCTAAATTCAGCCTCAGGCAGGGCAGGATGTGGCCACAGAGTCCCCAGGATGCAGAGGTTAGAGAGGGAAGGGCAGATTCTTCCCAACTCTCCCCTGCGCTGCCCTTTCCCAAAGACTGGAGCTCAGCTTAGGGCCTATGTTGTCCCCCTCCCTTTTCCCTGGGTGTCCCCAGTGCAGCAGCCCTAGCCAGCCCAGCTCCCTCCTGGCCAGGTCAGCATTTCACCCTCTGGCTCCCCGTCCCCCCGGCCATCGCAATATTGCAGGTCCCAGAAGCGAGCAGTTGAGGGAGCCAGCACTGCTCGCATTTTTGTCTTCTGACTCAGACTTTCTGCTCTGTCCAGGGAGGGCAGGGGGAGGGAAAGGGGGAAATGCTTATCTTTCTAGAAAAGCAGGCGTAGCCCAGTCCTGTTGGAAAGCACTGAAAAAACTAGCTGCTCTTCCAGGCTGAGGGAGCAGCCGTTCTCACTGCATGAGCTCTTCCTCTTCCGGGCAACTCCCCTCCCCAAGAGATTTTCCATGCTAGAGAGCCCAGGAATCCCAAAGCAGCATGATTCACACCCCATCCCTCCCCTGGGTACTTCCTCACCACAGTGTTGTGCATTAGAAGAACACTAAAGAAAAATGTAGCTGAATAGGTTGGGCATAGGAGACTCCTCCAGGAGAGCAATTGCACAAGGTCCCCCTCACCCCAACCTTCCTCTAGAAATAACATTGCTTCTTTTCTGCAAGCAAAGAGCTCTCTTCAAGGGCTAGCCTAAACTTGCTCTCACTCCTTCAGTCAAAGGTGTCACCCACAGAGACCGAACGCTGCATCGAGTCCCTGCTGGCTGTCTTCCAGCGGTATGCAGGGCGCGAAGGGGACAACTGCACGCTCTCCAAGAGAGAGTTCCTTGCCTTCATGAACAGTGAGCTGGCTTCCTTCACAAAGGTGAGCAAAACCCACGCCAGACCCTTCCAGGAGTTTTCCATTGTGTACTTCAGCCCCTAGGACAGCAGTTAAAACCTTTATTCTCACAAGAAATGTGGGGTGAGTGGTGGGAAGAACTCACTTTTGCCAGAAGCAAGAGTAGATCCTGACAAAAGTTGCCCCCACTGAGTTCTGTCTCCCTCTGTCAACCCCTCTCCAAGGGTAATTAAAATTCAGTAGCTGCAGGGTTCATACCTTGGCAGATAACAGCAAGGGGCACCGTTGCCTCTAAGCAGATGTTGATAGCAGACTCCCTGATCTTTTGCAGAATCAGAAGGACCCAGCTGTCCTGGACAGAATGATGAAGAAACTTGATTTGAACAGTGACGGGCAGCTGGACTTCCAGGAGTTCCTGAACCTCATTGGGGGCATTGCATTAGCATGCCACGATACCCTGGTTGTGCAGGCCCCTCGCCGCTAGCCCAGGCAGCTCTGCCTCTTCCGTCACCGTGGACTTGTCGTGAGCAAGTACCACACAACGCTGGAAGTAGTCCCCTTGAAATGTGGGTGTCCCCACTCCCCCTTTTCTGAATAAAATAAAGGTTTTAAATCCTAGCATAAGGCATGGTATTATTTTTGTAGCACAAGGCAGGGGGAAGCACTACACAACCAGTCCAGACACCTGAGGGAGCCAGCATCTCTTGTTCCTCTCCTCTGCTTCTCCACTGATGTGAGAACACAGGTCTTTTCCCCTCAACCTCACAGCATCCCTAACTGCACGTTTCAGTCTTGTAACTGCTGAAAACTACAATTCATCTGACCTTGGAGATCATCCAGTCTGTTAAATATCATGGGGAAGGGCACAGTAATTGCAAATGGTACAACTACACAAGGTAAATGTGAAGACAGGAGCATTACAAGTAACGATAATTTGAGCACTGGTAAGAGCAATTATACACTAATAATTAATGAAAGCACCCCCTGCCAGCATACTAAATTATTTCAGCAATGTAGCCTCCATTTTCTGGGAACTTTAAAACCCTCCAAAGCTGGTAGCTTAAGAGCACAAGATGGTTGGAAAAAAATATGAAAAGGGGAAATGAAATCCAACATCCATTCTATCTCAGTAAGACCAACTGGGCTACCAAAGAGGCGGATCAAGATGGTCAATTTATTTTATTCATGTGAGAAGTAGAGAATGTTGAAAAAAGCTGGCAGAACCAAAAAAAGTCAACAATAGCAGTTAGATTCTGAGCTGCTCTCCCATCATTTCCAAAGGGAGCAGAGCTGTCTCTGAGTCAGGTCCTGTGCTGGCCCCAGGTCCAGACAGTGCCCCACTCCAGTGAGAGCCAGATCAGCTCTTCCTGCCGTTCCAGCTGCAGCAGGTTGAGTACTTCTTTCAGGAGTCCCAACTCTAAAGGAAGTGAGAGCCAGTCACTGCCTATCAAGTAGTTTCTATGGTGTGCACTGTATGGTACCCAGGTCTCAGCAAAAGCCACCCTTTGCCCTCTGGAAAAAGACTGGGCTTTGGAGGGGGAACTGTAGCTCTGAGGCAATAGTACATAGAAATGTCACATCAACTGGATCTGGAAACAGACTCTCAAGTTGCTACTGCTCAAAAACAGCGGAGAGTCTCACTACAGCATTCCTAGGAGAGGAAGCGTATGTAAGACAATAGCACGGGCACAACTATGGTGAAGAGATTTGACTAGAAGCCGGAATGATGGGAGGTAAAAGTTTCAACACTGTGCTGTGAAACGGGACCATTTCCCTCTGATCCTCTCACCTCCCCAGGACAGGGCAGGGCCCTAGCGGAACTGGAGTGGGCTGATCCGCAGCCCAATGACATCTTTGCCGATCTCTGTCACCTGGGGAATAAAAGGGAGATGATTAATGTTTGAAAGCAGCTCAACAACCCAACCCCACATGTGGTGTTCACAGCCTACGGAGTTCTCAGGAACGCACACGGCCGAACACTGCAAGGTCAGTCCCTGAAGGTAGGATTTAAACTACATTGTATTACACAATTCCCAAACTGCTCCTCCTTGCATGCCAAGTCCTCAGACATGCAACTCTAGACCCAAAACCCAGGCCAAGTCAGTCTAGGGAGCGCAAAGGGGAATCTTTGGAGTGAATTCTCAAGGGAAGCATCATGGACTAGGAGTGCACGATTACAGACGTTTACACTCCCTTACTGTAGTGACACGGCAGATCTGTCCCTGGAACTCAGGACAGTAGCAGGCTCCACTGAGCGGACACTTCTCCACAGGTTTGCCACGATATATGGGCCGGTAAGAGGCAGCACAGATGTCAAAGGGGTTGTGCATATCATAGTTGAGCTGATAGGTGTCAGTGGGATTCTTCTCACACGCGGACAAGATCTTGCGGGTCTGCAAAAAGCAACCACATTGACCAGAGGGGGAGCAACAAAGCAGTCCAAATAAAGTGCACCACAGGAGGTGGAACAGATTCAACTGGCAACAAGCATAAACCAGGGTGCTTCCTCTCAATGCCTCTCCCTTCCCATCAGCAAGCACTTCTGCCCTGATCACAAAAGCCTCAGCCTATCCCTGCAGGAAGCAATAGTTAGTCCTCTCTGAATCAAGCAGGTCTCATTCCAAAGCACACAGAGAGCACTCTGTTATATTCCTGGCCATGCACCTCACAGACATACCTGCTGCGCCACCTCAGGCTTTGGACCCAGTTCCAGCAGCCGACGAGCAAAGGCAGCAGCTGTCTTGAAGTTTTTGAGTTTGAAAAAGAGGTTGAGAGCAGTGCGCAGCACCAAGATCATGTGGACAGGCTGCAGGTTGGAGTGGGTGAAGTAGGCAGCCATCTGTGTTAGGGAGAAGGAGGAAAAGGAGAGATACAGTCACTACCAACCAAGTGAGAAACTGGATGCACTGAAAAAGTGCAAGAAACATACCAAACCCTCCCAGGTGATCACGGCCACATCTGCTTTAAAGGTAGAAAACCGAGGCACAACTCCACGTAAGAGGAAATGGTAGAAATGGCAGAACTCATGATTCCCAGTGCCTTTTTAAACCAAAAGGCTATTTTCCTCCCCAGCTTCCTCCCAACCACTCCACGAAGAATTTCATGGAGCTTCTGTACCTCACAGATCCGCTTCTGCTGCTCCAGGGTCTCTTTGGGCAGCTTCTTCCGCTCTGTCTCCATTGAGAGCCCTACAATATACTCCCGGCAAATGGCTATCAGTTGCTGGGCCTTGGAGAGAGCGACACAGGGAGTCAGGCATTCGGCCTCCGGCCCCTGGAGGATGCAGGGCATGGTCAAAAGAAAGAGTTGCCCCTCACCTCAGCAACCTCCTGCTTGTTGTCTACCACCAGCAAGGGCACACTGAGCAAGATGGAGCGGAACTTCTCCACAGCCTCCTCAAACTTGCCAGCCGTAGTGAGCTGGTAGCACAGCTGCAGGCGCTGGATCAGGTCATTGAGTTTCAGTCCAACAGCAGGGAGGGCGTTCTTCAAGCCAGCTTCCTTCCTGGGAGCACCAGAGAGGTGTTGGGGAAGGACAGAGGGCATCCAGAACACACCAACGTTACATTGACAGCTCAACTGCAACTTGTCAGCAACACTTTGACCTAGGACCACGGTGTCTGTCTCACCTTAGCACCAACGGCATCTGTGCTTCCACAATTCTGCCTCCCACAATGCCCAGCTGTCTCTGCATTAACACAAGCTGGAAAGTAAGGCTCATTTTTCTACAGTGACTCCCAGCCACCACCATAGAAAATACACTTGTGGTTCTCTAGATGTCCTAGCTTCAGATTAGCTTTGCCAGAGGGAAAGTATTAGAGCTAGAAAAACCAGCATCTCAAGTGCCTCACATTGTTTTCAACCTCTAAAAAGGGAGGCAGTCCTTTCAAGTCTCTACATCTAACAAGAGCAGAAAAATCCCACTAAATATGGAATACTCCCTATTTACATCCATCAAACAGGAAGGCTCCTCCCTTCAGAAGAGAGGGAGAAGAATTCTGGCTACAACTGAACTTCCAAGGTGCCAGGGAGGAAAACGGCACAAGGCAAAGAGCACAGAAAAGGAGCTAGCCCCATTGCTTACCAGTTGCGATGTGGATATCCATACATGGTAGGGAGACAAGGCAGGGCTTGGTAGGTTGTACGGCCACGGGCAAAGGTCTGCAGGAACAGCTGCTTGTAGGGGCCAAAGTTTGTGACTCCTACCTGGTCATGAAGGAGCTGAAAGGGACACATTAATCTGCTGAGCAAAAGACGCGTAGGGCTTTACAGAGACTGCAAAGACATCAACACTCAGGCTCCTACTTCATAAACAGAGAAAACCATGCATGAAATGATTCACAAAAGGACACAAAATGAAGCTTCAGACTAGATCAGAGAGAAGAACACCTGGGCACAAGGGCAAGCTCTCCCCTCCAACCTCCCCAAGAACTCCTGGGGAAACTTACTCTCATTGCTGTTTCAAAGGAGCCTGCCAGGATGTGATCAACAGGAAGCTGAGAATTGTTACACCACACCTACAAAAAGGGAAGAGAAACATATTACAAGAACTGCATACGTGCACACGTTTGCCCTACCTACTCTCATCACCCCTCATTCCCATAACAAGTTCCTGTGTTGTGCTCACAGCTGAGTGTTAACACCAAGTCTGAAACAGAGTTTGGGGGGAGGGGGAGGGGGAAGGGGGAAGCAAAAGGAGAAAGTTTATTGGAAAGACAACAAAAGATTTGTCCCATTACCTGAGCAGGGCTGGTGCCTTTGGTGGGTGGCACAAAGAATCCATCTTCTGCTCCTCCTGCTGGACCAGCAGGTACATCCTGGGGAAACATACAGGAACAGCGAATAGCATCCAAGTGTTTGACACCCAGATGAAATCATAGCTGGCTGTAACTGTGGTGACAGAGACTCTCTGGTAAAGCCCAGAAAATAATTCTTCCCTGAAAGCTCTCATTGCCTTCTCAAGTCACTACAACCGGGATACTTGAGAACTCTCACAAATGCACCCTGCACCCAAAAGCACCCTACCAGTTCAGGGGGAAGGTCCAAATCTTCTTCAACTTCCCATCCGCCTCCTTCTTCCTGCCCTTTACCTAGGCCTTCTTCTCCAAAGCCTTCTCCAGCATCCACAAAACCATCTGCATGGAAGAAAAGAATTAGTTAGAGCTCTTACACACACATGCATGCTCTTCTCGCTCACTTTTCTAAAAAACACTCTTGGATTCACCCACCTTCATCCAGCTGCAACTCTGCATCTTCACCCCAGCCTTCAGTGCCAACAGTGTCAATATCAATATCTGCAGCCAAGGCACCCCCTTTGCCTTAAAAAAAGGATAAGATTATTCATTTATTCATCTCTGAGAAGAAAAGATGTTAACCAAAGAATTCTTAGGCCAATACCTTTCCCTCCAATTGTCAACCACCACCTGTTGTTAAAAGGACAAAAGATTTCTTGAGAGATTTTAAGGGTGGTGTAAATATCTAGCTGGATTCCAATCTCTGCTAGTAACATTCAACAAATCTGAGGTTTAACAGCAACAGTTCAGGAGCCATGGGGACAAATTCAGTTCTACGTTTCCCAGCTTAATGCAGCTTTCCAGGGATAGAGCAATACCTTTGCTA